AAATTTTCGGCCAGAATTTTTTGTGAGACTGTTTTCAGTATTTTGGTCATAGCTTCTTCTCCCAAAGTCCAATTAAGGTGACTCAAGTTTCATTGGAAAGCTAACTCAAAGTACTACAATCTTGATAGAAATAGCTCTTTCCAAATTCGGACGTTTACTAGGTCAAACGTTGATCTCAATTTTCGGCTGGAAATCTGAAAATCCTTATATCCGGTTGGAATTTGATTTGTGAAAATATTATAGGCATATTTAACTTCTTTTGACTTCTAATTGCGCCAATGGACGCCTAAATTTCTCAAATCATCATTCCATCGCCCGTCTCATCTATGAATTATTTGCAACTTGATCCCTGAACTTTCACTTCTTCTCGCTTCGGTCATTTTTTCATTTGTTTCTTCACCGTTTTCACCAAAATGCAACCTAAACCAAAACATAAGAGTAATGAGTGCATTTTGGCATAATATAATCACATGAATGCAATAATTAAGAGGGGAAAATATGGTATTTTACACTCTTGTCACACTCCCCAACTTGCTTATTGCTAATCCCTAGTAATTCAATGCAAAACAAAACAAATGAGCGACTGATCCAAATTACAAGTGAAGTTGTTGAGTTCTAATTCAACTGCAGTTTATTATCTTTTCAAACTCAACACCAGAAGAAATTAACAATGTTATGATTATCAAGATATCAAAAACATTTGCTAAATGTGTGAGTGTGTGTCTAGCCATAGCCATCTTACCGCCAACCCTAACACATGCAACATCGTGTGTTTCTCTAGCTAAAGGTCTTGCCCCATAACTCACGGTATTGAAGTGTTTAGTGGGGGGTTTCTCTCTATGGAGCTGGGAAAGATGCACACTCAGAACATGGAGGCTTAAATATTTATGAACAAGTAACAAGCAAACATTGATCACATGATAGGCATATTTTCAAATGAGAATCCATCAACTTCTTACCACAAACCTACTTGAAATCAAAACTACCAATGTAAAGAGTGTTAAAAGGGTTAAATTGGGTTATATGAAAAGTATGGCGAAAAGAATTTAAGGACTTCCAAGTATCTAGCTAGGCATCTCAACTAGTATTTCAACATATCAATCCTTTACATCAACGTATTCCTCGACCTTTCAATTCCCAACAACAATCCACCCCTTTTTTTTTTTTTTTTTTTTTCATTTTTTTTTTTTTTGAAATTCCCTTTCCTTTTGTGTTTTTTTTCGCCTCACCCAATCACTTATCATCTCTTATCACTTTCCTCGTTACTTTTTTTCTCAAATGGACATTTAACACCTACTATACACTTGGAAGTATAAAGGTAGAAAAATGACTATTTATAGACTTTAATCCAATTTAAGAAGGTATGGATAACATAAGCGCATGAAAAGAAACGGTTACATATGTGTCTTAGCTCAAAGTGACTACTAGGGGGTTATAATTATGGAAAAGAATTAGTCCGAAGGCTCAAATTCAATCCTAAATTGACTGTTATCATTTCCCAAGTATAATCAACCATCATACCACATATTGTGTAATGTTATTCTTAAAAGAAGTTCCCAATTCACACAATCAATGAACGCTTATTACATTTTTAGTATATTGTGGCTCTCAATCCTCACCAATTCTCACATAAGAAAACTTCAACGAGAGACTCCTCTAGCTACATGTGTTACACTTCCATCTTACCACAAGGCTTGTGTGGGCAAAAGGATTCAACAAATGTCTCAATATCCAAACTTTCATAAACAATATTAATTCCTAGTGGCATATATTGTCATTCAAGAACATGTAGCGCATTAGGGACTTAAAAAAAAATTAGGCCAAAATTCCATGAAAAACTTGCAATTCACAACAAAATTTAAGTTAAACTCTCCCACCAACTAAACATTGCATTGTCCCCAATGCAAAAATATGTCTGCCAAATAAAGGTAAGGAAAGATGTCACCTGAGTGTAGAATCGAATCACATGAGTTAAAGTATAGGAAGTCTGAAAATCTCCAATGGAAAGGGTGATGCAAAAAATGAAAATAAACTAAAAAAATGCTAAAAACACGAAAAAAGAAATTTGAAACTAATATACAAAAACACAAAGTGAAAATGTACCTGAAGTGTGTCATGGGTGGTAAACCGGGTCTGCAAGAAGAATTTCTTCCAATGTAGGCACCTATTGCCCATAGAGTATTTTGAGTCTTTGTCCATTCACTTTGAATACCTTACCATCATTAGGGTCTTCAATTTCAACCGCTCCATTCTCAAAAGCTCGTGTTATGATAAAGGGACCAGTCCTCCTAGAGCGGAGTTTTCCCGGGTGCTTGTGAAGTCTAGAATCATACAAGTACACTTTCTGGTTTGGTTTAAAAGTTTTTCTCACAATATTTTTATCGTGAAATGCTTTCATTTTTGACTTGTAAATTCTAGAACTTTCATAGGCATCATTTCTTAACTCCTCTAACTCATTCAATTGAAATTTTCTATGTCTACCTCCCTCTTCTAGATCAAAGTTAAAGTGTTTAATGGCCCAAAAGGCTTGGTGCTCAAGTTCAACAGGTAAATTACAAGGCTTTCCAAAGATTAGTCTATAAGGTGACATGCCTAGGGAAGTCTTAAAAGCTGTACGGTAAGCCCAAAGTGCATCATTCAGTCTCAACGACCAATCCTTACGATTAGGGTTCACCGTCTTTTCCAAAATTTGTTTAATTTCCCTATTAGCCAATTCTACTTGTCCACTAGTTTGTGGGTGATAAGAAGTGGAAATTTTATGAATCACCACATACTTTTTCATTAGTGCCTCAAACGAACGGTTGCAAAAGTGTGTGCCTCTATCACTAATGATAACACGTGGTGTACCAAATCGAGACAAAACATTTTCTTTAAGGAATTTAACAACCTTTTTATTGTCATTGACTCTACAAGCAACCGCCTCTACCCACTTAGACATGTAGTCTACAGCCACAGTGATGTATAAATAGCCAAAAGAGGGTGGAAAGGGTCCCATAAAGTTAATGTGCCAACAATCAAACACTTCAACCACCAAAATGGGATTTAAAGGCATCATATTACAGCGGGAAATAGCACCTAGTTTTTGACACCTCTCACAGGATCTCCAATAGATATCAGTGTCTTTAAACAAGGTAGGCCAATAAAAACCGCATCGCAAAATTTTTGCAGTAGTCTTTTTCATAGAAAAGTGGCCCCCACAAGCTTGAGAATGGCAAAAATCTAGTATACTGGGTATCTTCTCATCAGGAACACATCGTCTCAATATTTGGTTGGGGCAATACTTAAATAAATAGGGGTCATCCCAATAAAAGTTACGTACCTCAACCAAAAATTTTCTCTTATCCTGTGCACTCCACTCATTTGGGATTTCACCTGCAGCCAAGTAATTCACAATATTAGCAAACCATAGTAGAGAAGAGACAGTAAATAAATTTTCGTCAGGAGATTCATCTCTAATTGCGGTGTTTGAGTTGTCTTTAAAGGTCAGCCTTGACAGATGGTCTGCTACAACATTTTCCACTCACTTCTTATCTTTGATAATGATGTCAAATTCCTGCAAAAGCAAGATCCAACGTATTAGTCTTGCCTTAGCATCCTTCTTTGCAAGAAGGTGTTTAAGAGCTGGATGATCTGTGAAAATAGTAATGGGAGAGCCAATCAAATAGGATCGAAACTTATCAAGCGCAAAGACTACCGCTAGTAATTCATTTTCAGTGGTGGAATAATTCATTTGAGCACTATTCAGAGTTCGACTAGCGTAGTAAATCACAAAAGACTTACCTTCTTTTCGTTGCCCTAGAATAGCACCTACCGCAAAGTCACTAGCATCACACATAATTTCAAATGGCAATGTCCAGTCAGGTGGTTGCATTATGGGTGCGGAGGTAAGTTTACCAATCAGCAATTCAAATGTATTTTGACATTCAGGTGTCCATTCAAAAGTCACATCCTTGTTTAGCAAGTTACATAGGGGTCTAGATATGGATGAGAAATTTTGTATAAACCTCCTATAAAAACCTGCATGACCAAGAAATGATCTAATGTCCTTTACTGTCTTAGGTATAGGCAATTTAGAGATCAATTCAATTTTTGACTTATCTACTTCTATTCCTCTTGAAGAAATAACATGCCCTAAGACAATACCGGAAGACACCATGAAATGACATTTTTTCCAATTCAAAACTAAGCATTTTTCTTCACATCTAACCAAGACTATTTTCAAATTTAACAAACATACATCAAAGGAGGTCCCAAAAACAGTCAAGTCATCCATGAAAACTTCCATGCAGTCCTCTACCATATCACTAAACAAACTCATCATGCATCTTTGAAGTGTGGCAGGGGCATTGTAAAGTCCAAATGACATTCTACGAAATGCATAGGTACCAAAAGGATACATGAATGTGGTTTTTTCCTGATCTTCTAAAGCAATCTCAATTTGATAGTATCCTGAATAGCCATCTAAAAAATAGTAAAAGGGATGACCAGCCACACGTTCAAGTATTTGGTCCAAAAAGGGAAGGGAAAATGGTCCTTGTGAGTGGTAGTATTTAATTTCCTATAATTAATGCACATGCGCCAACCAGTTACCATTTTTGTAGGGACTAATTCACTTATTTCATTTTTTACTACAATGACACCTGACTTCTTGGGGACTACTTGTGTAGGGCTAACTCATTTACTGTTTGCAATTGGGTAAATGATTCCTGTGTCCAACAATTTAAGTACCTCATTCTTTACCACTTCCTTCATTGTAGGGTTTAGCCTACATTGTGGGTCTCTCCTAGGATTAGCCCCTTTCTCTAGATGAATCATACGAGAATAAATTAAAGGACTAATACCTTTGATGTCGGCTATGGTCAACCCTAATGCAGATTTGTGTTCATTCAGAATGTTTAAAAGTTGTTTACATTGTAATACATCCAATTCTGATGAGATAATGATAGGAAAGGTATCACCTGGTCCAAGGAACACATGTGTCGGTCATGTAGAAAGTTGTTTCAATTCTCACTTAGGGCTTTCAATACTTGATGGTTCTGTCCTCCAGTCCTTTCTAGCAATTCTTCAAACTTGGGTTGCCATGGTAAAATCCTGTGGTCCTGTAATTTTGCAAAAAAATCCCAAATATTAGCATACTCATTAACATCAAAACCACATGAAATTCCAGAACTTAGGATAAAAGAGTTCAAAGGGTCATAATCAATTGTTGTGGGTGCTTCCTCCCAAGTGAGTGCATCAATCATGTAGGTTTGATGGCATTCATCTTCTTCCGTAGGTTGTTTGGTGATATGGAAAATATTGACTTCTAGAGTCATATTTCCAAATGTCAACTTCATCATACCATTCTTGCAATTGATAAAAGCATTAGCTGTAGCAAGGAAATGTCTACCAAGTATAATAGGGATTTTAAAGTTAACATCCACCTCAACCTTCACATCTAATACCAAGAAATCAACGAGATAGTAAAATTTATCAACTTGAACTAACACATCCTCAACTACTCTCCTTGGTCGTATGGTGGATCGGTCAACTAACTGTAGCACCACTGAGGTGGGTTTCATCTCTCCTAGGACTAGCAACAAGTATATAGCATAGGGCATGAGGTTGACACTAACTCCTAAATCAAGAAGGGCTTGTGCAAGCTCACGATTCCCAATGACAAAAGAAATAGTAGGACAACCAGGGTCCTTATACTTTGGTGGGATCCTTTGTTCTGTCAAAGTACTCACTTGCTCGGTCAGGAAAGCAATTTTTTTGACATGATATTTCCTCTTCATAGTGCATAAGTCTTTAAGGACTTTAGCATATGTAGGAACTTGGAAGATCACATGCAAGAAAGGCAAATTGATTTTGACTTGTTTGAGTTGTTCTAGGATTTCATTATGCTGACCTGTTAATTTCGAAGTGGACTTGAGAGCTTGAGGGAAAGGTATTCTAGCTAGGTTTTCTACAACTTCCTCACTGGGACTGCTCTCATTAGGCTCACTTGGCTCTTTTCCGTTCTCTCTAGGTGAAGGGGTTGGTTCTACAACCTTTCCTGATCTAGTGGTTATGACATTCGCTTCCTTAAAACTGGTTTCTTCGGATCCTGAGGTTTGTGCCATGTGTTGCCCTTTTGGGTTTGGTTGAGCTTGAGCTGGAAACTTTTCACGTTCCCCTACAGCTAAGGCATTGGTTAATTTAGACATATGATTCTTTATCTCTTTTTTTTCCTCAACTACCTGGGAAATCATAGTCTCAAATTTTTGATTTGTTTTGCCTTGTGCCTCGATGAATGCATGTAGGGTGTCTTCTAAGGAATTCCTAGAGGACATGGGTTGACGTGGGGATGCATTGTAAGCTTGAGTTTGTTGGGCATGTTGTTGGTTCTCAGACTTCCAGCTAAAGTTGGGATGATTCTGCCACTCTGGGTTATAGCCCTCGAAGTAAGGGGTGTAGGGCTTTTGATATATGCCTAAAGTATTACAGTGTTCCTTATAAAGTCCCCTCATATCAGCATAAGTAGCACACTTTTGTGTTGGATGATCACTCCCTCCACACATAAAACAAGGCTCTAAAGGCTCAACATGGGAAACAGATCGAGTCGTTTTTGAATCCTTAGCAAGCAGGTTTTCAAGTTCTCTAGTAAGGGTTTCTACCTTTGCTCTAAGGTTATCTTCCTCCTTAAGATGATACAATACTTATGCTATTCGGGTTTCTAGTGGATTGTAACCTATTAGTACTCTCGGTGGCACAAGGTCCAGTCCAGGTATGGGATTTCTTAGCTAAGTCATCTAAGTAGTCTATAGCCTCATCCGGATCTTTTTGTAAAAATTCACCATTACACATCATTTCAATACATTGACGCTCTCTAGGTAATAATCCCTCATAAAAATAACTCACAATGTGTGAACTTTCATAACCGTGGTGGGGGTAGAGGGCTTGCAATTCTTTGTACCTTTCCTACGCTTGATATAAAGTATCGCTCTCCGTTTGAGTGAAAGACGAGATTTTCTTTTTCAATGCAATTATTTTGTGATGGGAAAAGTACTTGCCAAAGAATGCTTGAGTCATTTCAACCTAAGTCCCAATCGAACATGGTCACAATGAATACAGCCAGCTCTTTGCTCTTTCTTTAAGAGAAAACGGAAAAAATTTAAGCTTGACTGCATTCATTGTACCACGTTGATTGTGGAAAGTTGCAACCACTTCTCAAATTCCCTAATATGCACGTATGAGTTTTCATTTTCAAGACCGTGAAAGGTGGGAAGAAGTTGAATCATTCCTGGTTTAAGGTCCATACGTGGCATATTATGTGAAAATATAATGCATGATGGTGTAGATGTGCGTGTGGGATGAAGATAATCATGCAAAGTCCTAGTTGGTGCCTCTTCGTGTTCACTATCAGTCATTGTGTTATGTGATGTGATGTGTGTGCTAATAGATTCAGTATTAAAGAGAGGGTTAGGAAGAGATTCAAACACTGGTTGTGGCCTTGTAGTGAATCGTCCCCGGCAACGACGCCAAAATTTGATTACGCCCAAAGTATAACGCGGTGATTGTAGTACAGCTTTAAGGTGTCGTATCCACAGGGAGGTAGAAAATTGTTTAAAGGATTAAACAAACTGGGATTTTCGTGATTTTGTGAAGTGAGTTTTCAATTTGAAGTGAGATTTAAATTTCAATATTCAAAATAGTGAAGCACTGGAATTCACTCTCTCGGATTGGATCAATCAACATTAATCATTCATACATTTTACTCTAAAATCAAGGTTCCTATAATATATTCCTACTTTAGTCTATTGAAATCAGATTAAGAAGCGTCCATATACATCAAGCATACGGAAGTAAATAATCCATCAATGACATACATGAAATTGAAACTCAATAAATATTTCGATCAAACGATAGAAAGAGCGTGACTAATTCTATGAAAAATCTAATAAGAATTGAACCAATTTCAATTACCAAGTCAAAAAGGGAAACCTATATTTATTTAATTTCACTTGCAATCCTGGAATTTAGAATTCCTAACAACATAATCCGCATTTATTTATTGAAACAAGATTCAAAAAGGGATAATATACCTTAAGCATAGAGCAGTAATTAAATCACGTCAATAATTCAATTGAAATTTAAATTCAACCAATATTTTAGTCATTCAATGGAAAAAAAAACATAATTGAATCCATGAACAATTTAATAAAAGTTAAACAAACATCAAAAGTGTAATAATAAAGAAGAAATCTAAATCCCAGAGTTATTCGACAATAAATATCACATTATATGAAAGAAAAGATGTTGAAATCACCAAATCCGATCGAGATCCTTCTTGGTTTCACCAAAGATTTTAGTTCTTCATGGAGTTTCTTGTGCTAAGGATGAGAGAAAAGTGTATCAGGCTGTGATAATAGTGTAAAATACCATATTTTTCCCTCTTAATTATTGCATTCATGTGATTATATTATGCCAAAATGCACTCATTACTCTTATGTTTTGTTTTAGGTTGCATTTTGGTGAAAACGGTGAAATTTAGAAAAAAACAAATGAAAAATGACCAAAGCGAGAAGAAGTGAAAGTTTAGGGACCAAGTTGCAAATAATTCATAGATGAGACGGGCGATGGAATGATGATTTGAGAAATTTAGGAGTCCATTGGTGCAATCAGAAGTCAAAAGAAGTTAAACATGCCTATAATATTTTCACAAATCAATATTCAAAATAGTGCAGCATCGGAATTCACTCTCTCGGATTGGATCAATCAACATTAATCATTCATACATTTTACTCTAAAATCAAGGTTCCTATAACATATTCCTACTTTAGTCTATTGAAATCAAATTAAGAAGCGTCCATATACATCAAGTGTACGGAAGTAAATAATCCATCAACGACATACATGAAATTGAAACTCAATAAATATTTCGATCAAACGATAGAAAGAGCGTGACTAATTCTATGAAAAATTTAATAAGAATTGAACCAATTTCAATTACCAATTCAAAAGGGGAAACCTATATTTATTTAATTTCATTTGCAATCCTGGAATTTAGAATTCCTAACAACATATTCCGTATTTATTTATTGAAAAAAAATTCAAGAAACGACAATATACCTTAAGCATAGAGCAGTAATCAAATCATGTCAATAATTCAATTGAAATTTAAATTCAACCAATATTTTAGTCATTCAATGGAAAAAAAACATAATTGAATCCATGAACAATTTAATAAAAGTTAAACAAACGTCAAAAGTGTAATAATAAAGAAGAAATCTATATCTTAGAGTTATTCGACAATAAAAATCACATTATATGAAAGAAAAGATATTGAAATCACCAAATCAGATCGAGATCCTTCTTGGCTTCACCAAAGATTTTAGTTCTTCATGGAGTTTCTTGTGCCAAGGATGAGAGAAAAGCATATCGGGCTGAATGGAGGCGTTCTGGACGTTTTTGGGGTTAAAACCGTGTGCAAAACGCATTTCCACAAGAGGTTGAACTGAATAAGGAAAGTACATTTTCGGCCAGAATTTTCTGTGCGAATACTTTCAGTATTTTGGTCATAACTTCCTCTCCCAATATCCGATTGAGGTGATTCAAGTTTCATTGGAAATCTATCTCAAAGTACTACAATCTTGATAGAAATAGCACTTTCCAAATTCGAACGTTTACTAGGTCAAACGTTAATCTCAATCTTCGGCTCAAAATCTGAAAATCCTTATATCCGGTTGGAATTTGATTTGTAAAAATATTATAGGCATATTTAACTTCTTTTGACTTCTAATTGCACCAATGGACTCCTAAATTTCTCAAATCATCATTCCATCGCCCGTCTTATCTACGAATTATTTACAAGTTGGTCCCTAAACTTTCACTTCTTCTCGCTTTGGTCCTTTTTCATTTGTTTCTTCCAAATTTCACTGTTTTCACCAAAATGCAACCTAAACAAAAATATAAGAATAATGAGTGCATTTTGGCATAATATAATCACATGAATGCAATAATTAAGAAGGGAAAATATGGTATTTTACACTCTTATCAATGATATAGGTCTCGAAATGAGTTTCGAGATAACACAGGCGAATTGTAGATTTGGCTAGTGTACAATCATTGGAGAAGTTTTAAAGTTAGCATGTGATCCAAATTCTCAAAATACTATTTTACGTCGATCTATTTTGACAAGTCGTAACATTTTCTACGGTTGACCGTTTCTCGCGCCATTAACGAAGTAGAAAACTATTATGTCGATACTTTAAAATGGTATTATGAGTGCAATATTTGCTCTTCGTTTGGCATCCCATAATGACTTCAAAAATTGACAGATGAAATTTAAAAAAAAAAAAAGAGCAAAAAAAAGAGAAAGAAAATGCCCATTTTTCATTTTCAAACACCTCCTAAGTCCAAGGGTTTATCATATAATAGATAGAGAGAGAGGGAGCTAAAATTTAGAAAAACAAGGAGAAAAATAGAGAAAGAAAATGACATCTTTGATTTTCAAACAACATTTCCGCCTTCTCAAACACTCCTAAGCTCATGGGTATATCGTATAACAAAGAGAGAGAGAAAGAGCTGAAATTAGAAAAGAAAAAAAAGGGAGAAAGATAAAGAAAGAAAATGTCATCTTCCATTTTCAAACAACGCTTCCAACTATTCAAGCTCAATGTTCGAATCTTCATCACAATAGCAGGTTCCACCCTCAATCCCAAAAAAGATTTTGTATGTTCCCTTTATTAGAAAGAACCTACAAGAAGAGACAGAGACTTATGTGAACGCTTATGCAATTATTACATGATAGAAGTAATATAAATCAATTTTCACATGCACAAGGTATGTTGAGGAATTAGTGTCAATTGTAGAAGCATCGGTACAGGAGCTCATCAATCAAGGGATAAGTTTTCCATCATTACTCAATGGTATAATTTGATTTTGAACATAGAAAAACTGATTTCGGACTTTCCTATAAAGGTGGTTAATCCAAACAAAATTGCTATTGATGGTCACTCCTTTGGGGCTACCATGACTGCGATCCTTTTTCAATATGCTGGTCATCTTTTTTGTTGTGAAATCATATGGTCTGGAGCATATAATGGAATGCTTGCTCCTTTTGGGTTTCAAGTAGCAATTTATTTTCTGAACAATTTTGGATTTAATCAGGATGTTGAAATTGCTATTCTATGCTTTTATTTTGGACGATTTGACAATTCTCCTATATATTTCGATTTTTAATAAAAATTAAAATAATGTGATCCTCTAATTTCTCTCTCCCTTTCCTCGTATCATCATCTTTTTATCATTTATTTATTTGTCTTTTTTTATCGATAATTTATTTATTTTTCTTTTGCGAACAATACGTTGAGCTGCTTTACTGATAATTGTTCACAATGATGCAGTCCGTTAGCTTCCATAAGGCTTTGATTGCCAATGGAGCGTGCTATTGTCTAGTCATTCTTCCTTTCGAGGACCATACTTACTTGGTAAAAGAGAACGTTTTGCATGTTTTATAGGAAGCTGA